TGGTTAGAAATAGCTGTATCTTTAGATTTATAAACCCTTAATATAAGCAGTTTGGATGACTGTTCAAAGGGTTTCATCATGTCATTATGAAAAGACAAGCTTTTGTGACTTTTAAGCTACAAAGGACAACCGTATCTGTAGAGATTTGAGTATTAGGGAAAAAGGAAAGCTGACTTTTATTACGGTGAAAGTCAGATACTACTGTGGGAAGCAACTCAGAATGAGCAAACAGGGAATTCCCCTGCCACTCCAATGAGCATCCTGAAACTACTGTCATCAGCCAGAAGGATTAGTCCTGATAAACTGTCCTGGTACTGACAATTAGACACTTTTCTGACAGTTGGATGGGGCTCTTAACAACTTACATCATCTGCATTGTTATTATAATGCTATGTGCCATTAATTCATGGGGATAATCATGCTTATTCCTGGAAGAGATACTGAAATCCTCCCATGCATTCCTTAGTTCCACAGCTCTAAGCGACTGGTAAGAAGTTGCTTTTCCTCAACACCATCCACACTGGGCTACAAGTATGTCTGAGGAGCCACCTGTACTAGGAACAATAAATTTGCTGCAACTTATTTGGAAACAGGAATTAAATGAAAGGCAATCGGCAATCCCTTTGAGAGACTGGCAAGATTTTAGGATCAGATTAGGAAACATCACCTAGGATATGTCTGGCCATGACTTACATAAAATAAAATGTATTAGACAAAGGAATCCTGCCAGATTTGCAGTTTCAGAGTCTGCCTGAAAATGTCAGCTAGTCACAGGCTGCCAACACCAGACAGACACAGCAAAACTAGACAGGTCTTTAATATAGTGATAGGGTGTGTGCCCTCACAGAGCTAACTCTCTCATGCCTCAAACTTCATCCACTGGTACAAGGTCTTTGATGTCACGGGGACCAGTCACTCACAAACTGCAGAACTGAGGAGGGAGAAAATGAGATTTCTGGGATGCAGTGGGACTTGCAGGTGAAATGTGAGCTCAGGGCTGCCAGCATGGAGTCCCACAGGAGGAGCATGAAACAGTGAAGATGCAGACCAGACAATGAGGAACACATTCAGTCAGAGAAACACTATAGCTTTGGAGTGCCGCTCCTCGGTGATGCAGTTGAAATGGTGAACTGAAATGGAGCAGGCCACTGTCTGTCTGTATAATCATGTACTCAGGATGTCTCATGACTCTCCCACTGCCCTGCATAGTGTAAAGTTAAAAACCCCTCTGGTCTCAGGGAATAGAACGTATGACTATCCGCTGGGTAAATGCGTATGTGGACTACTATTTGGAAATAGGAACTATTGTTTTAAGTTCTGGTTTGCTTAATTATTCATTACTTGCTGCTTCAATTATGCATGAAAAACCTCAAGTAGTTCTGAATTTTCTTTGGGCAATGCAGACTCCAAGGCATGCTAAGAAAGTTAAATAGTGAGGTGTCTCTTCCTTCCATTAGTCAAAAGAGAAACATAAATTACAAGTCAGCATATAATTCTCTGCTTCTTCACACAATGATTTAAAGTCGATTGAGTACAATTACTTCATACTCAGCATATTTACTGCTTTATAAAACTTTCTTGCTCCCACAAAGAAAGGCATCCAGGCACTTTTCTGAACAACAGTAGTGTTAAATATTTTTTGATTATTATTTCTGAAAACCACGTTTCACCTTTCAGTTGTTTTCAAGTTATTTTAGCAGTGTTTTGGGAAAGCAGTTAATACACACTGATGTACTTCCTTGAACAGGGACTTCGCTTAAGTGCTTTTCTGAGCAAAACCTTGTGTTTATCTGTCCATTTATCTGAATTTAAAGTCATGATTATTTTGGTATCTCAAAACATTCTGCAACAAAGCCACGCAGAAGCAGAATACAGCTTCCTCTCCTCATCTCTCCATCTGCAGCATCTACACATCCTAATGCATCCCTACCCCATCCTTGTTTGTGCTGGACAAGACACAGCACATGCTGTGATCATAGAGGAGCTACATGTATTTTTTCTTTACTGACTAGCTAACAGACAGGTTAAGCGCTCAGTCAACTGGCGGCATCTCCAGTCCAGTAAGCATTACGTAGCTGAAACTTGCTTTTCAACTTACAGACCCAACCAAGAGCTCTGGGACTCTTCAGTGATCATGGCAGAGGGGTTGAACTAGAGGATCTTAAGGTCCTTTCCAACCGTAACTATTCTATGATTTCTCACTACTCTGTTCAAAAGAACATTATATCTGTGAATTCTATTTCTCTGTTATTGAGCTCATGTTGGCTAATAGTTTCACAGTTCTTTAGAGAGCCTGGCAGATGTGACCACAGAAACTTTGTTTCCTCATGAAGTCTGGAGGAGAAAAAGCCAAAACCAATATTGAAATTTATGAATACTTTTACCAAATTAGTAACTAAAAAAAATCATTAATGCCACAAAGTTAACTTTGTATTTTTTACATTAATGTGAATAATCTTATTTTTTTTTTAGTACTTGATCACGTCTGGTAATGCTTTAGTCATCAATTTGCAAACTGGATGCAGTTTGCAAAGCCTTTTCAAAGTGTTACTTTCCTTTAGTCTGCTGCTTGTCATTGTCAGAGCTGAGCAGTTAACTTAACCTTGTTGATGCTGGTGATTGCATGAGGAGGCAGTTAAATTTTAATATTAGTTGCAGTAGAGCTCTGTGCATAAAGATGAGCCTTAATTGCTTTTGAATTAGTTCACTTCTGCTGTCAGCAAATATTCTCCCTCTTTGATACTTTCAGACTACTCCACTCACTACCTACGGTAGAGCAATTCTTCAGTTTCTGTGAATGTCTACAGTACTCTTCATGGCATTACTTTACTCAGCAGAATGCCAACAGCAGTATCTTCTCCAAAAAGAGAAAAAAAATTGCACATTTAAAGAATAATCTGTTAATTTCATGTAACTATCACAAAGAAAGGGCCACTAGAGGGAAGTAAATCCAACATGCTCAAAGAAAATAAAATGCTAGCTCCTCAGCTATCATAAATTAATGTAGCTAACAGAATGGGCTGGATTTACAACAGCTGAAGATATCGTTCTATACTCTTAACAGAGATACAACAATTGAAGATTTTATGTATTTCTGAAGAGTGATATATTTCAAAGAGGTCTAGCACTTCATGCAATGTGGATACCAAAACCATCAGAACAGTATGTAACAAAAAATTACATATGAGAAGGTGGTATTAACATGGGATAAATATGTTGTGCAGGTACAATTTATTATAGATCTAGATCTTCCATATTAGCCACAGTTCAAAAGAGAAAAATCGGTTTAAAGCAGTATGTCTGAACTTCTGGTAATGGAGTCTTTGCACACTTAATAGATTTTTTTGATTTGTTGTCCCATCATAGAATCACAGAATAGTTAGGGCTGGAAAGAACCTTAAGATCATCAAGTTCCAACTCCCCTGCCATGGGCAGGGACACCTCACACTAAACCATGCCACCCAAGGCTCTGTCCAACCTGGCCTTGAACACTGCCAGGGATGGAGCATTCACAGCTTCCTTGGGCAGCCCATTCCAGTGCCTCACCACCCTTACAGTAAAGAACTTCTTTCTTGTAATCACTCTAAACTTCCCGTTTAAGTTTGAACCTGTTATCCCTTGTCCTATCACTACAGTCCCTAATGAAGAGTCCATCAGGTGTATAATCTTGGATCTTTGTTTTCTATAAACGTCTGCAAACCAGCAGCACCATGCAATAAGTACTACCCCTTTCAGCATAATTAAGATTATAAGAAAAGATTGCAATAGTGAATTTACTGTTTGGTGGCATAGACAGTAAAAGAAATGCAATGTAGAGGCGATTATTTAGTATTTTTGGTAAATATGACAAAAGCAAAGCTATAAAATCTTTACTGATAGCTGACTACCAATAAAAATAAAAAAGGTCACAAATGCTTTTATCTGAGAACCTCAAAGTGATTTATAAACATCAGTAAAATCTCTGCAATGTTCTGAGGTTTTAGTTCTACAGCTTCCTTTTCTGAGGTTAGCTGCCCTAGTTTTTTCTGTATCACTTATTTCTGACTAAAAATAACTTACAAAAATGTTTACTGTCCTCTCGATAATTTCCATCAATGAAAACACCATTAATCTTTTTCCATATTTCGTATGACATTATCTTTTCCTCTTTTACTGCTAAATATATAGTTACTGTGCTTACAATCTTATACAACCACACCGTAAGCCTACAAAAATGGTTTTATCTTTATAACCACATTTTATAGATGCCACCATTTCACTTATTACAATGCTTTCTCCTGCAGAGCTCCCTATTTATACCCAAATAAACTGACAGATATTCGGGAAATCTGGTCTTAAATTCTCTGAAGCCCTTCCAACAGCATTTTTAGTAATGTTAGAATTATTATAGGGAGTGCAAGCAGTTTACACTCTGGAGTTTACTGTCAGCATGTCACAAATTATCAGAAGATTGGTCTTTTCCCTGTTTTGAGTAAACTGCAGTGAAAATCTGTATCCTTAAACCAGGAACAGGCAACAGAAAAAGATGCATTATTTTTTAAAGGCCCACCACTTAAATACACATCATAAGCTGTGTTCACACAGCTGTCAGCCAGTCTAAAATCAAACCGTACCTCTGGTGACCTTCACCTGTGCATGCTTGGTGACTTGCATTTAATACCATGTAACGAAACATCTAAAAGTAAATATACATAGCGATAGCTCCTAGTACTATGGGTTTTTTTGCTTTAATGAAAAAGGAAAAGGGAGCTATAGGTTCAGAACATGAAATACAGCCTTAGAGCTTAAGGCAAATCTCAGTGCAAGGCATATATAATTTTAGGCATCTTATAAAATTAGTTTTTTTCTTACCATCCTCACATGAACAACGAGTCAGTAGTTTCTGTGTTTTTTCTCATTCAGTTTAATGAATATTATTAGCATTATCATTACTGTCATTATCATCATCACAGCAAGCTGTTAATTTTTGTATGCCCAAAGGCAAACAAGTAATTACTTACTCATCAACACAACTACTTGTCCTAAATAAACAGGTAAGCAGATTTTTGCTAGCCTCATCAGTGAAAGAACCCAGGGCCTTCCTACAAGTGGAACAGAACAGGATCCTCCTGAACATTAACAATTTTACTAAATACTTTCATATTACCAAAGGTCTTCTATTTAAAACGGCAGTTTTGCCAGTTTGGTTCCTGTTCTGCATTAAGCACTTCAGCTACAGTTGCAATGTCACTGCACAGCAGGTGAAAAACGTTTCTGGAACAAATGTCAGCAAGGGATCAGTTTGAAATAGCCTTCTCATCTACAGTAACACAAGCCGGAAGACACCACTGCTATATAGATTGCTTTGTTGATAAGCTACAATGCTGTTTCCTGGCACAGCAAGTATTTTTAAACATGGAAAAGGAAAAGGTTGCAGAAATAAACAAAAACATAGAGCTCTTGATTTCCCACGTTTCTCATAAAAGTTGATCTTGGGACAACAATCTGAACCAAAATTGCACAAAAAAACAGCTCAAAACCAATAATACAAAGTTGACAATCAAAGAAACCAAGAAAATCTATTCTGATACCCCCATAAGGAAATGGTTCATACGGAGGCTGAAATACCTTACAGTGAAGCATGCTGTATTAGTACTATGAAACACGGATACTAAAGGAAGTGAGTTCACTTTCATTTCACCTTTGAATTCTGAAGCTGTAGTGGATACTATGGTGTTCTATTCTTTCAATACTAAAATCGTAAGGAAAGACATGGAAAAGAACCAGATGCAGAGTCCAGTTATGATGAACCACTAATACAGTTAGTCCCACGTAATTAAAGCTTGCACTTCATTTTAAACAGGAAGGTGTATTTTCCTGCCCTGTGTAATGAGGTCAAGGCCAAGTGCCAAAAGCATTTAATGCCCTCATCAGCAGAAGCTGAAAGTCCTCACAAAAAGCACTTAATACCACTTAGCAATCTGCAAAACATCCTAACTTGCTGACTCAGACTTCCAAGAAACAAAATGATCCCTCTTAGAAGTGTATAGATGACAGGGGCACAGTAACAGACATACAGTGCTGGCACTTACCATCTTGGTCTGTGGTAATCGTGATAGCTGTGAACTGCTTGGGAGAGAAACTCAGCTCTGAGACCCCATTTGTGGCTTCTATTTCAAAGGTGTAGTTCACGTGCGACACAAAGTCAAGCACTGTTACAGAGGAGTTGATGAGACCTGTGTGCCTGGGGATGAAACGGATACCTCCACCACAGATCTCACACTGGCTGGCATCAGACCCACATTTCTTACAGATGACACTGTAAGTGAGATCTTTTCTTCCTCCAGTATCACTTGGGGGGCTCCATTCCAACATGAGAGCTGTTTCATTAATGTTAAAAATCACATTCCTTGGAGCAGAAGGTGGCCCTGTGGAGAAGGAGGGGAAAGCCTAATAAGTGACAGTTGTCTAATTTGGAGAGAATAAATAAATAGATAAACAGATAAACCACAAAAATATATTAGTCTTAAGGCATTTATTTGCAAACAGAAGCTACAAGAGTTATATATCAGTAACCAATTGAATGTAAAATCCTTGAAAATTCAGCAGGAATAATAAATGGGTGAAATCATAAAAAGCTGAATAATCTCAATAAATTAGAATTAATACAGAAATAATTTAAGGCAACATAAAAGTGACTTGGGAATGTCAAACCTAGGCTCGATAACACAAATTTGCACTAAATAGCTCATGATCTTGTGGGATACTGGTGTAGACCTTTAGCCACAAAATTTACTTCCTTTCATTATGTCTAGGAATGTAGGCTTTCCTGATGCTTATAATCTTGGATGTTTTAAAAGAGTCAAATTGAATAATAAATAAATAACAGCTTTGGAATAATTACCAGAGATAAAATTGTTTGCATTAGTTCTGCAGTGCCAGATATCTTTTCTGTCCTTCACTGCTTATCCCCAGGGATTTCTTTGCCGCTGTTCATTAACAGAGTTAGATGGCATCAAGCCAAGACTATTAGGCACAAGAGACAGTTCACAAGTTTTTTTTCTTTCCCACCTGTCACCCCGTCAGCACCAGTATAACAGTGAAGACATCAACCTTGCAAGTTAAAGGTCTAACAGGATGGTCATGAAGTGGGAATAAAACTAATTCTTAAAGACTCTGGAAAGGGATGCAAAGACAGTTGCAGCAAGCAGACTATAGGAAAGCTCTCAGCTAGCAAGCAGGTGGTAAAGCTCTCTATGCACTGTCACATGAAGCACGAGTGACCCACTTGCCATGGTTCCTGCAACAGGCAACGCATGTCCAACTAATTTTAAGCTGTTATGCTGATTTACTGTGTAGATCACATGTAAATCCTCTGAGGTTTTATATATCAGCTTCCATGGTATGATGGAAGAACTTTTCCATTTCTGATTACATTATTCTTCTTCCAGTTAAGATATTTCAAACAAGCACTTATATACACAGCTTCAAAAACCAATTTGTATACAGTCCCACAATACTTCCATAAAAATCATGTAAGAAACACAAATTTGGCAAAATGAACTCCACACTTTAGATTCCAGGCTTTGATACATACAAGATGACTGTGGTAAACTCAACTGGTGATCTCTGTGGGCTTTTGAGCTGAATAAGCTGAATAAGCATTATATTCCAGTTCTCAACATAAAATTCACAGTGCACATGGATTGCTTTGCCAATGGTTAGCAGAACTTTGAAAGCTTTTATCTTGCTTTGTAGCTTTTCATGATTTATACAACTTGCCAGCAAGACTTAAAGAGATACTTTTCACATTTTGAGTGAGCTTTTCATTACTCCAGGGCCTCTTAAGCAGACTGAAAGACTACGTGGAACATTTGCAAATGACATTAGCTAATTCTTACGCAGAATATATTTCACCCAACAAACTGAAGAGCACAGTAAACCTGAGAGTCAGACAATTAAAATATCACAATATTCTTCATAAAAACTGTGAGACAATGAGAGAACTAAACAAACAGACAAAAATATTGATCAACACTCTTGTAAATTCCAGCTCCACAACTTATAGCGTGATGGCAAGACCTTATGCCCAAAGGATGGTCAAGTAAATGGTCAGAACTTTGCACTAGGAAGGACATCAAAATATCAAAGCTCCTCATAACATCTCACACACAAATCAGGATCTGACATCTCAGGAAAAAAAACAACAAAACAAACCAAGAAACCTGCTTTTTTCAAATCATTCATTTGAAAATCACTATTTTTTTCTTCTTTAAATCTGCAATTACTGCAGCAGAATCACTGATAAGCTGATTTGATTTTTGAACTTTTAGCTATTTACTTGACCAAAGCAGAAGTAGTGACTTAGAAAATCAAGCCCATGAGTGGTTCTGAAACATGCAACTACAACTGAAATAAATCCATTCATTCAAGTTCTTCATTCTTGAAGATGACCCTGAATACTAAACTGGACCATACCTTAACAGCAAACATTACTATATCTTACATTTTACTAATAAACTGTACAGCAGTGAGGATCTATACAGTTGTACCTAGACATAGCAGCAGGAATGAATAACAACTTTAATGTAGGAAAGAGGCAGTAATAGTTGCAGGGAAAAAAAAGTCACTATTCACCAACAGCTGCCATTTTTAAGTGATGCTCTCTGCTTCCTTATGTGGCACAAATGTGGGCATAAAAGTTGGAATGCTTGTAAAGGGAAAAAAAGTTTGCCTGCTGTGGGAGGGATAATGTGAACTAACAAATGTTAAGGTTTTCTGTGACCTGTAGTTGAACATTTGAGTTACTTTTTTCTTTCCTGTATTTATTTGTAACTTGAAATAACTGAGGCTATGTTTTCATTACAATTATTCCTGCCTTAAAGTAATGATGAGTTAGCTGCTGCATTTCAAGCACTTGATAATTAAAATAACTGGAAGCGTTGCTGTTTTGCATTTTTTTTACCAGTCAAGAAAGTTCAAATTATTTTGAATGTATGGTTATTTATTCCTGTTTTTATGCACGCAGAGTTTATACTCAGCAGCCAAAAATCCCTGGAGAGTAAAGATCTGTTATTTTTCAGTGTATCAAGGAATCATTTAGCTCATTTATGGTTCATTTGTACTGAGGATTGATACTTCTGGAGCCTGTCAGATGAAAATTATAATTTGCAATTGTTATGATCACGGATAATATGTTGAGTATTTCCTTCCTGATCCTTTACTGTGACCTTGGGATAAATCTAATACTGAAGCATTTGAAATAGTGTAATATATAAGTATTTATAAATGCAGCTTCTTAGCAAAGGCTTATTATATTGATACGTCATTTTCCAATGGTGTGGAAAACAGCCTTAGAGATGCTGATGTGGTCCAAAAGCCCCTTACAATCTTAAGAGTGTCTCAGATTGACAAATCTCTAAACTTCCCAGGAAATTACTGTTCTAGCTACTCTTGTAAACAGTCCTGAGATCAGAATAAGCTAAACTAAGCACAGATTACTTCAGCTTCAGTTCTTATTATTTATGTGCAGAAGACAGGAATAATTGTATTTCTTCTAAAAACATGCTGTGAGAATTAAATAATGCCTGGTCTTAACAAATTCCCACTGTTCAAAGCAATGAGGAGTTTTAGGATATGGAGGATGAGCCTTAATTGCACTTACATATGTGCATAACTTTAAGCGGATCAGTAATCCCCTTGAAATAATGGGTAATACTCATGCACTTAAAACTAAGCATGTGTGTAATTGCTTGAAGGACTGGAGCCAATGTTTTAAAAGTGGCTTAAATTTAATCCTACATAAAGTATAGATATGAGGACAATGGGTCATCACGGCTCATTTTTTTTTTAATGTTACTCCTTCAACTTTTGCAGGCCAAAGTAGGAATCGGTCTGAATCCAGGCCATAGGTGAGTTTTATCTGGCTTTGTCAACTTTAATTTTCTATCAGACTTTTGTTGTACTGTATGTAGATTGCATCGATACAGCAGATAAAATACACTTCTTTAAAACTGCATTTATTTGCATTGGAGCATGAAGGTTCTTATATTAACGATTTGGGACGTAATCCTCAATTGTAAGAGAACACACGAGTTATTGTACATTCCCATTTCAAAGAACAGGGAAAACAACAATTACGTTAGCGGTGTCTGAAAGTATATGATTGTCCGCCTGCAAATACTGAAAAAACCTGCGACACATTTCACACTCAAGGCCCCTCATGCCAATTTGCATGACGACTAAATAGCTTTTTAATTGCTGTTAAATTATGCCAGTTAAACTGTGATTTCATGCAAATATTAAGCTGTAATGGCACGCAGTGAATCATTTACTAAGATTTAGAACTTGGAACAAAGAGAGACAATTAATTCTAATCCTCAGATTCAGCTAAATTATGTGTCACTGGGCTTTTATGAATGTGGCCTGATTGCTTTGTTATCATTTATAAATTATACAAAGATTATGTGACACATTGGAAAGACTTGGCAGCAATAACCCTTCTGCAGGCATCTGTGTGCAAAGCTCTCAGGGATTTCCTTATATTGATTTTTAACAAAAACAAGTACATTGGTAAAAATGATGGATCCTGTCCTCACAGTAAAATTCATGACTTTGCATTTTATGCAAAAGCGTAAAACAGTTCAGATGGATGAGCATTAAAAAAAAATGCAGCCCTTCAGCTTCTTAGATGAAACACAGCCTGAGTGCAAGCAGCCTTTTGCTTCATTTACACATTATAATGTACGAAGTGTTTCTACAGTCTCTGGAGAGTAGACTGGCACTGATGTCTTATGGAGAAGCAGGCCCACTGCAAAAGCAGCTGAGCCTCATGCAGTGCTTCACACCTCATCTTGCTTTGCATATCCTCTCCCTCTATGAAGTGTGTTTTGCCCTTTATGGAAGGAGAGAAAAGCAAACCCAATGCTGCAGAAGTCTTGTGAGGGCAATAAACACTACAGTGATGACTGGAAACAACTTCGTTGTTTAACTGAGAAACGTCACCAACTACTGGACCTCTTAGACATGTGTGTTATTTGACTGCTGAAATCAAAGTAGGAGGCAAAAATTAACTGGTGTCTTCTGAGAATACTCAGAAACAGCATCTGGCTGTGCCTCTTGAGTTCATAATTGCTTTTTTATACACATACATGTATATAGAAACACAGATATGCAGTGTCACTTGATGTGGAATGCTGTATTACATTTTTTCCTTTTCACAATAACCTATTATTTTTCTGTGAGGAATGGAAGCTAATGATTGCAAATCAACAATCCAAATCTGTGTGCAATGCTAAATTGCAAACAAGTATATATATATATATACTTTTATATATATATAAAAGCAACAATAGAGGCAGTAGAGCCAAAGACTTCAAGCATGTTGCTTGATCTTGCTGCTGGAATACAGCATTGACTCAACATTAGAGAACATAGTTTGTGGCAGACTTTACTGAGCAGAGCACCAGTTTGTCAGGTTCAAAACTGTTTTGAGCATAACATGAAGAGATGCACTGAGACACCCAGTATAAGCCTGCCTGCCTTTGATCGTGAAAAGAGGGATCAATTTATCCAATTACATTACAGTGGGAAATGTTAGAGTTTATGTACAGAGTAATCAGACAGGGGATTAGATATGATGCTATTTGTTGCTCACTGTGTATGCAGAGAGATCACTGATAGAGTACTCACATACAGCAAAAAAAAAACAATAAGGAGAAAGAGTAGCAGCAAGAGATTGATAAGAGGTGCCAATCAAATGGAAAAAGGCTAGGAGAAAGTGATTAACAATGTATCCTAATGTAATTTTCATTCCTCTTATTAAAATTGGATTTCTATTATGCTTTTCTGCAAAGTGCACACTCTTCTTTTACAAAACGGGAAATGTTCAATTTTGGAAAAGCATACAGTATGAACTTTCACAGAATTAATGGAATTAGATTCGAAGCTCATCTTGAAAAAAAGTGCATGCTGGAAGCTACACTCTTTAATTTCAGTCTCTTAAATCAAGGTCTTTATTTTCCATAATGCTGCATATGCAAGTTTTCCACTGACAAAAAGTTCTGGAGGGAGGAATACTGTCTGACCCTATACAGGAATAAAAAGAGGGAGAAAATAAAATATCTACCTATCTTAGGCCTATTGCTTTGCAGAACCTGGGGAAGCAAATAGAATAGGTATGAATATGGTTGGTTCAAAATGTTGGAATATGAATACACTTGTAAGGGGAATCCACTATTCATTCTTTAACCCAAGAACAACTCTCTTTCAAAACATCACAAGAAAAATTGCTAATCTCTTCTATCACGTCACGTGTCAGAATACAAACGTACAAATGTAGAGGCAGATCTCCCCTGAAACTGGTTATGTAGGAAAAGCATTTTCTTACTGCACAGCCTTTCCTATTTAGACAAACTGGCTCATTCCCCCCCCCCCCCAACTTTTCAAATCTTGTTATTACAGTAAAGTATGACAGTTTGGACGGTACAATCTAAATTCCACTCATATCTGTACCTTTGTTTATTAAATTTAAATTAGCCACATCTGCACACATTCACCAAAGGCAGGGAGGTTGTATTCATGACAGAAACATAATTTTAATAACCGAGAGCGTAATTTGAAAGCAGTGGGGCTAAAGATATCACTTAGGGAATAATTTGGCCTGCAGACTCTTCATTACTGATGATGCGCAAGAAGATACAAACGCAGTCTGCCTGTCATGAATGTCAGTGTCACTTGCAGAGCTGACAATTAGCGAAGTAATTATCATTATAGGTGTAAGATGAATACATCTCCTGTTACAGTCAATGAAGTACTGCTACGTTGCAGTCTAGGCTGAATAAGAAGCAATACATGGAGACCCTGAACCAAGAGCAAAGTAGACACTAGGATGTGGTTCACAGCCTCTTTTCTTTCTTATTTGCCCCAAATTGGGGTGAGATGGGGCACTGGTACTCCTGTTGTGGCTGATTTCTTCCCTGCCCTCGCTTACTCGATTGCTTTGGCTGATCTCCTCAGCAGGAAAAGAGAGGTCTGGCACCAAGTCTTCCCCAACAGTTTTTGGCCAAAGCAGCTCTCAGCACCCTGCTTTTGTTTGACAAAGCACCACGGTGTTGTAGGTGCCTATTCCCTGATGCCACAGGGCTCTTATGCTCCTCCCTACCTTACCAAGACTAATGGGTAGCAGGGCTTAAAACTGTGCTCTGAAAGGTAATTATGGAAACATAATGCCATGTATGGGTAATTTTTTTCAAAGAGCTGTCTTTTGGAGATGAAAAGTCAGTGACTTATAAATAATATGAAGCACATTTGCATAACGCATGAATGAAACTATCTTTCTAAGCATGAAACTGTCAAGAGCGCCGGGGATGTGTATCATTTCTGTGGGTAAGTTTAAATGGCCTGTGCTTGGAGCACTCATTTGAGTGGAATTATCTGTAATCATCATTTTCCTGCAGAGTCTGGAACAGCACTGCTTATTCCCTTACATATTTCGTGCAAAAAAAGATGCGCCTTGCTCCAGAGTGAGCTGACAGCAGATTGTGTGCGTCGGATTGGGGTGCCTCTCTGAACCCCATCTCCCTTAAGGAGCTGGAAGCTGACACCCTTCCCCTCTGAAAACCCTTTGGTTAGATTAGACAACTTTCTGCTAAGTACTTTGGATCTGAGGAACACCATATTAGGCGATGGACAATGTCTTGGTCTACATAATGACCTCAGGATTACAGACTGCCTATGACTTTGTAAATCAGCTATTGCAACAGTACTTTGTTTTTATGGTTTTATCTTTCAAGCTTTTTGTATACTTTGCTTGTCACGTTATTTTTTATAGAATTCTGTTAACAAAAGGACTGTGGCACAAAATTTACTGGAATCAAATCCTCCACCAGAAGAGCTAACAAAATACTAGACAGAAAATGAGGTATCTCAGAGAATTTTCCAATAGTTGTTAATTATCTTTATTAAATAATAGGATTTTATGGGTAAATAGAGTATTTCACCCACAGATTTTTCAATGCTGCTGTTTGTTCCCAATTTTGAGATTAAACAGGTATAGTTGCTTTATGATCAATAAACGAATCCCAGCGAGCAATGAAGCATGAATGAAAACCTATGAGGAATATTTTATTACATAAAAAGAAAATTTATGCTGTATGCTTCTAGATGTGAGCATATTGATCAAAGTAATAAAAATCTCTTCTCACAATTTCTGCCTCTAGATTGCTGGGCATCAGTTTTGTCTTAATGCCAAATTTAGGTTCGTCAAAGGTTAGTTAGGCCTTAGTGGCCCATACTGGTCTGTACTGGTGCAAACCGGTCTGTACTGCTCCATACTGGGATGTGTAAATTTGCAGATGACACCAAGTTGGGTGGGAGTGTTGATGTGCTGGAGGGTAGGAAGCTCTGCAGAGGGATCTGGACAGGCTGGATCCATGGGCTGCAGCCAGTGGGATGAGGTCCAAGAAGGCAAAGTGCCGGGTCCTGCACTTGCGCCACAACGCCCTGCAACGCTCCAGGCCTGGGGAAGAGCAGCTGGAAACTGCTCAGGGGAAAGGACCTGGGGGTGCTGATGGATGGAGCTGAGCACAAGCTGCTTGTGCCCAGGCAACCCCCAGCATCTTGGCCTGTACCAGCACCACTGTGGCAGCAGGGCCAGGGCAGCGATTGTGCCCCTGCACTGGGCACTGGTGAGGCCGCACCTTGAATCCTGTGTTCAGCTCTGCGTCCCTCACTACAACAGAGACATTGAGGTGCTGGAGCAGGGCCAGAGAAGGGCAGTGGAGCTGGTGCAGGGCCTGGAGCACAAATGTGATGGGGAACGGCTGAGGGACCAGGGGGGTCAGTCTGGAGAAGAGAAGGCTCGGGGAGACCTGATCGCTCCCTACAACTGCCTGACAGGAGGATGAAGACAGGAGGGGCTGGGCTCCGCTCCCAAGGAACAAGGGATGGGACAACAAGAAATGGCCTCAAGCTGCATCAGGGGAGGTTTAGATGGAGCTGAGGAACAATTCCTTCCCCAGAGGGTGCTCAGGCATTGGAACAGGCTGCCCAGGGCAGGGCTGGATTCACCATCCCTGCAAGTGTTCACACACCATGCAGATGAGGCCCTCAGTGACACAGTTTCGTGGTGGCCTTGGCAGTGCTGGGGTAAGGGTTGGACAGGGTGAGCTTAAAGGTCTTTTCCAACCTGGTTGATTCTATGAGTCTATGATTTTCTTGTCTTTTTTAGAGAGCTTATTTTTTATCTGATCGTGCTGGGATATGTGCCTTCTAATTTTAATTTAAATCCAGGGAGACAGCAGAGTCACATCATTTTTTTTTCTTTACATAACTCCTCCAGTGTTTGGCAGTTTTTGTACAAACATATTTTCATGTATTTAAAATACATCCTGGTAGTTAAACCTCATCCATGTGACAATGACTACACACCTTATATTATCTCTCAAAACTACAAGCTAAAAAGTCACCAACCTAAAAAACATGTGGGTGTTTTTAGGGATATCTACACTACATAGAAACATTCTGTTTGAATTCTGATTTTAAAAATCTCTGTTGGTCATCTTGAATGGAATTCTTCACAAAATACACACATTCATGTGACTTTCTTAAAACACAATAAATAAATAAGGCACAGGAGAAGAGAACTGCAGACACTGGTACTGATCTGACTTACGGGTACATGCCATAGTTGGTGGGTCCTTCTCAGCTCTGAAGTAACCTTTCTCACACTGACAGACAGAAGTTGCTTCTACGTAAGTCAAACTGTGTGGAGGGCACTTGGAGCACTTTACATTTCCAGCAAATGCTTTATAGAATCCAGGCCTGCAAGCTGCAAAACAACAAAATGAGTTTCATTATTAGAAACAAGATTTGGTCATAAGTAAAATCTGTTCCATACAGTTATAATGCACCTTCTTTCCTTTGCCACCAGATATATATGTGCTATTTTGATCATACAGCTCTACAGAGCTACAGTTTTTATTTTAGTATATGGACTTAAGAAAAAATCAATTTCTTGTATATAACGGGAAATCATTAAAGAGACAGCTTCCAAACTTACACAGTCCTCACTACTGCCTGAAATTGTTACCTAGGCAACATCACTAGTATCACTAACCAAAAGAACATTATCTGTGTTTCATGTAGGTTCCATCTGTTAATAAGAAAGAGTGAGATAACTTCTTATCCACCAAAGCTATTTGTATGGCTTCCTTCTTTAAGTAATGAAGACTTGCAGTGCCTAATGTTTATCTTCACAACGCCTTGATGAGACAAGGATATGTTTAGAGATGGGTCTGACTTTCCCTGAGAAGCCTGTGACAAAAAGGCCACATCTGCTGGGTCCTCAGCACCCTGTTGGCATGAGAGGTTGGGAGGTGATGCTGTAACAACCTTCAGAGATGTAGGAAGGAGATGCCAAAACCCTCTAGCATAAAGTACGGCAAGCCTGAGGCTATTGTTAACTATGTCAGGAAACAACCTAGAGAGCAGCTGCCTTGGGGACAGGGGATGTTGTGATTGTCAGAGCTTGCATTCCCAGTTACTTTGAGCAGGGGTCTCTGTTGTTCTTGACCACAGCACAGCCTTAACGGGCCTTTTTTGCTGGTCATTAGAACTGAAGCCATTTGCTAAAATAAATCTTATAATACACCTGCTGTTTTGCATTCTGAAATATTATTTTAAAACCATCCTCAGACTTCACCACACATGTCTAAAACAGGGATTTCTTTCTTCTGTCAGCTACCACTTTTACACATGCCGGCATGTATTGCAGTTACTATCTTCTGGCTTCCCGATCCAAAAACAGAACTGAAACAAATGAAAGAGCAACTCAAACATGTATAGACTGCACAGACTCGTACTCCTCACTCCTCCAGCATCATAGATAGAATACACTGCTATAAATATAATTTCAAAGATCCATGTGCTTTTTTCATATTCAAGAGTTCTTTCTCTACATTGCCAGAGGAACTAGGCAGCCCTTCCTTCTCTTGTAGTAAGACAAAATAACAATAATAAAATGAGGTGCTTTCTAAAAGTATCCAAAATAATGCATTTTATGGATTCATTGTCAGTTCATATAAAGCAAGTTATTTAAAAGTATTAACTCATAGATAACATACACAGAGATCAGTTTTGCTGCTGATTCCAAAGGACTTCTTTGATATAAAAGCAGTTTCACTAGCAGCTGAGGGAAAAGGAGTGAGGTGGGACTGAAAAAGATGATAGTTGATGGTCTATCAGGTTACAAGAGTCAACTTTTCAAATGTAATTTTAAGAACTTAATTTTGACCCAACAATTTCAGCAATTCTCCTCCCAGTGTGTTCTGACTTTGCTGAAGAGACATTAGAGAGGAATCCTGCCCTGCTGTCACTTATAGAATGAGAAAAAAAAAGTAGTATTTCTGGTGTCAGAGATAAGAGGGGAGGAAACAGCAGGGATTTTCCCCTTGAAAGAAGGCTACTGGCCTGATACAACTGTGATTATAGTGAGTGGTAGTTTTTTACTGATTGGAAAGACAGCAGGTCTGGTGCATGGAAGAAGGCAGCATTGTAGATGCAGGCTGTAGGCACTGACTCCTCTTAGCTTTGCTGCGAGGAAGAGAGCAGATAAGGCAAAAAACCTGGGAGAGGTGTTACACTTACCTGCTCCTTTCTCTTTTTCTCATGCCCAAATCCAGCCCTGGCTTATCTGAGGATGAAATTAATTAAATTCATTTCATTGTTATGAAATGAACAATTAATTAAATTGCCTTTCATATATGTGGTGCAATACCAAGAAGCTTGTGATGAAGGAGATGGCAATTCCAAGTTACAGTTTCAGTCAGTGTAAAATGAACGTTCCTTAAAATCCTTATTACCTCTGAAAGTCAAGTCTGTCATTCCTTCTTGCCCTCTGTCCCCCAAAATGACAAACCACTTCGGATCGAAAGAAACACAGCATTCTCCTTCAAGAGGAATGTTTTGTTTAAGCTTCAAGCAGTTCACTGTTCTAAACTAAAACTCACAGAGAAGACTCTGAATGTTTTGTTAGGAAATGGTATCCTGTAATCTATTTAAAGAAATTATGGGTTTGAGATGCTATGTCTCTTAAAAGAAAGCACATGTACACTCATGAAAAGATGGGAAAAAGTAATGGATGAATATGTGGATCATTTTACCTGTTTTGAATCCAACAGATTTATCCATTAGGCCAGGTATGTTCCATAAATTCAGAGGCAGAGGAAAACATCAAGGAAGCTTTTCTATGGATAAGTTTACAAAGCTACTTAAAACTGCCCAAATGTAGAAGCACAGAAGCATGATTATTGGATATTTTCAAGTAAAAACCAGCCCTTCATAAACAAGATAAAATAACACAAGCTAAAAACCCACAAAAGATCACAAGCCTGGGATAACTCAGCTCTCTGGATAGCTCAGTGCTGATTGCCAACACTCAAGGTGAAAGAAAATAAAACTGTCACTCTACCAAAACCCATGAATATGCAGCTGGACAGAGCTTTGGGTGACATGGCCTCTTGTAGGGCATCCCTGCCCAAGGCAGTGGAGCTGGAACTAGAACTTAAGGTCCTTTCCAACCCTAACTATTCTATGATTCTATGTTTAACGTTAACCTCAGATTTTGCATAGCCTCCTATTATTTCCATTGTTTATTCTCTGTGGCAGTTTCAGCCACACAAAATTACTTAATATTCAAACTGCCTGATGGGCAAATCAGAAACTCTGGAACTTTTAATTACAAACGGGTTGTGGTTTTGTATCTGGAGGAGGAAAAAAGACATCCTTCCCATGCAAAATCATACCCTATGAAAATATATTGAAAGCAAGTTCAATACTTGTTCCTGGTGTTTATGTATACAGAGACTTCCATTTTGCATGGCTTGATAAATCAGTATTTTCAAAGTGTTTATCATAACATTTTCTTCATCCAGCTCATAGTTATTGCATGAATAATTTTCACAAATTATTTGTGCATAAATTAGTACAAAATAAAATTTAAACTACAAAAAAGCTGCCATCTGAAAAATCTTCTAATGATGATTATGCAAAAATACCATAAATTTTGTTTTTATCTTTGTTACCACAGGGTATTTTTTGAACCTTCCAATGGGAGACACCTTATTTTCCCTAGTATTATCTAATAGAAGTGACTTTGCGAATTACTGGTTATATGAACTGTATGAGATTTGACTTTCGTACAGCCTGGGGGAAGATTGTCTTACTGGTTAAGCAATTAGCAGGGTATCTGAATGAAGAATTAAAAGACTAAAGTTTTCTCCAATGAAATACCTGAGATCGTGCAGAGAAACACTGTTACTTTAATCAGCTTCATAAAGGATAACCCATCTACAAATGTGCTTTACTACACCTTTATTATCAGGATATTACTATGAGGTATTTAAACTGTAGAAACTTTATAATTAATATAATTTTCCTTGTTTAAAATTTATTATATGGCATTCAGTTTTGTGTTATACACAGATGCATGCAAAGAGAAATTAATGCTATGCAAAGCTCTGGTGAACTCTTAAAGAAAATGATTCATAGCTTGCTGGCTTCCCAACCTGGGCAGAGAGGGAGAGAAAGCATTTATCAAGAAGCTGCAAAAGTTTAGCACTGTTGATATTCTTTGCACAGGTACTGAAGCAGACTGGAAAAACTTCAGAGGTGCACTGTACACTTACCACCTAAAACGAGATACAATCTTAGCTGCTCCAAACAGGACAGCACATGAGTGGTGTGAGACACCGTGGGAAGCTGCCACAGCTGTGTGGTTGGTTTATGGCCATCAGCACCCCTAAGGACCCGACTGCATCCCCCTGCTGAGGGGGGGCTCAGGGCCAGCTTGGAAGCAGTGCAGCTAAGGGTGGCCCCATCCTGCTGGGGCCATGGGGAAAGGTTCCTGACAGAGTGGTTGTGAGGAGGACCGTTGCCTTTGGATGTGGGCTTGGTCATCTTCATGGTCATAAACCTTGTTGTTTTTCTTTTTAAAAGGAGCATTTTCCCTGTTCTGCGGGAGCATGCAATTGTGAAAGAAAGAAAACTACCCCACTTTCCAGTTGTTTCCGTTTCACAACATCTGAATTAACTGTTACCAAGTTAGCTGAAGTAAGGAGAGTCCAAAGGAAAATTAGGGAACTTTCGTCTGACACTGTTGGTCTGTGTGCGGGAAGACATTTCTTATGAAAATGGGTTTTTTATAGCTTGCGGAGAACTCATCAATCAAATTAAAATAGAGAAGACTCTGCTGTCATTTACAATGAATGGCAACCATCAGCAGCTGTGGAAGAGGTGTTTTAATCTTTCTGAAACACATAATTTGCTATGCTGTTCCACCTCACACATTTTTTTAATTGCTTACTGAAAACCACTAATGCACCATGAGACTAACATCTTTCATATCTGTTACATTCTGTCAATGTAGAATGATTCCACTTTTAAAGTCCTCTTAGCCCTCCGATATCTGATTGCTTTATTAAACAGCAATCCAATAAGGCCTATTCTATTCTACCACTGTGCAGAAACAAGCAACTATAATATTATTTCAATCAGCTTATATTTTAGTAGAAGTGTCTAGAAAAGAAAAAAGTGTATACTGTATATTACAGAAGAGAGTATGATCACAAAGATTAGGATATTACAGGATTAGGACAATGAAGCTATGAGGACAAACTTTGATTGTGAGTACTATCTAAGTAATCTCATATCTTTTCTTTCTTCACATAATCGCCGTTTTATTCAGGTCATGAATAGACTATGAGAAAAGAGAGGGGATTCATTTGGGGTCATGTTCAAAATGATAGCAAGACTACGCAGGAGGCGTTGCTA